TATATATATATATATATATATTGTTTCCTTGTCTAATTTGCTCCAACCATTATGTATTATATGTAGTGTAGGCCATTAATAAATGTCTTAGCGGGTGATTGTTAGAGTATAAATCTTTTTTTCTTGATAAGTTATAAACATCTCGATTTGATGCTCCTGGATTACACTCGATTATATAATTGAAACCCAATAAACCGACCAAAGATCATTGTTGTTATGAAGTTTGAATGACTTGTTACATCGATTCATGGATACTTTGTTGGCTTGTTTGAATTATAAATTGTCCACCCAAAAGATATCAACATCAACAATGGACATCTTCAATACTAACATAGAGTTCACAAGCATATGGTGATAATTTTTTACTGAAAACTGCTAGAGGGTACCTTTGCTAAATCAGAATTGCTTCAATAACAACTTCAGGGCATCCATTTCTACTATAAAGGCTAATGAATAATCTCTGCTTATTGTAGGCAGTATCACATTATGAATCCTCAGCCATGTTGGGTACTGATGGTTTTCATGCTAAGAACATTGGGTTGTAGTAGGTGCCTCACTAGCTTGGCTAATGGTGGTCTCCCTAGTTGCATCTCTAAACGAGATCAGATAAATCCAATCCATGACCAATTTAGGGGTTGTTTGGTAGCCGGTTTTAAGCAAGACTTAAGCTAAATCCTGCCAAATGGCAAAAAAGGCCTCTATAAAATATGAGCTCCCATAAATCCCAATTTTTGTAAATGCCACTTTTTTATGTACTGTGAGCTCATTCGTATTTTTTTATTTGATCTTTATTATTTTATGCTTGATTTGATAAATCCAGTTAAATTCTTCTAAAGTTATCAAACAGTTTCTCAGGATTTACTTACTAGCATATCAAACAATTTTCAGAATTTAACCACCTCAGGATTTACAGCATCTACTAAATCTTAAGCTCTGTTTGAAGGAGCTTCGCCAATCAACAAAGCTCCTTCAAAAGTTACGCTCTGCAACGAGACTCCTCCGCTCCATCCTGAAACAACAATATTTTTGTGTTTTTACTCTTCCGCGTCCGGAGACGTTCCCCAATGTTCGGTCACCAAATGTCTCCTTCTCGGGTGACGGTGTCAAGAGCGGTAGAACGGAAGGCGGACACATTCTAAAACAAATCCTTATTTAACTAAATCCTACTTGCGACCAAACATCCCCTTAGATTTGATTCTAGCTTGAGGTTTTGTTTGAAGGAGCTCAGTCGTTCGCCGAAGCCCCTTCAAAAGTCACATGGTGGAACCGGCATTGTCGTCTCCATTCTGAAAGTCATGGTTCTTGTGATACAACATCCGGAAACGTTCCAAAAATGCTCCGTCACCAAACATAAATTTTTCCAGGCAGCTGCTTTCAGTGCAACCGATCCGAAGTCCACCGGATTCTCAAACAAGGCCTGAATGGAATGATTTTGAGCAGATCATGAGCTAGGTTCGGATGAACTCTACATTTAACTGCCCCGCTACCAATGCCAATCTGATTTATTTTATTAGATTACTCTGTTTCATCTGCTTTATAAACATCCCAATGATATCGACAACAACAACTGAAGACAAATAAACAGGTTATGTTTTGCTTTCTTACTGAAGAGAAAAAGAAGAAGGGTGGGAAGAGAGCTCACTCGAGCATCACGAACTTCGATGACGAGATCGGTGAGCTTCAGGCGATCACGAATGGCCCGAGTGGCAGCGGCCATGTGCCCCGGAAACCAGTTGATGACTCCACCCCCGGCAACGAAACTCATATCCCCGACCCGCTTTCCGAGCGACGACAACCTTCCCATCGCCGGGGCCTAAAGTGCAGCGGCGCCCCAATTGCAGATGTTCCCTTTGCCAACTGACCTCGTGTTGGGGAAAATATTTGCTTACATAAGATGTACGCAGCTTTGCCTACATCAGGGGTATAATGGTATTATATCTGAGTTATACTCCCTTGTAACCTCTTCGTGTTGGGGAAAATATTTGCTTACATAAGATGTAGGCAGCTTTGCCTACATCAGGGATACAATGGGATTATATCTGAGTTATACTCCCTTGTAACCTTCGGTATAACCCGAATATAACTCCCCTGTACCCCCAGAATAATCTCTGATGTACGCAGCGCTGCGTACATCTTATGTACGCAAATATTTCTCTCGTGTTGGAGGGGAGGCAGCAGAGCCGACGCTTGTGTTGCTTATGATTATAATGAATACTTAATATTCTTGAAAATATCATTGATCAATATGGAGGGTTAAGCATTTTTAATACAATCTTTAATAAATTTCAAACTAGTATTATTTATATCAAATAGAGTAAAATTACCATTGACAAAACATCCTAGTACAAATTTTCATAAACTTCATAAATGCTCAACTTAATAACATTATGATTATGTGTTTTAATGTTAACATCATGAATCAACTTTTAAGCCTAAAAAGTACTATAAAGATAGAAAAATTTTGAAAAAATGAACTTGATTTAGTGAGATCATTTCGGAAAGGGGGCTAGCTAATCTATTATTATGGTGTTTGATAGTTAGCTTATGAAAAATGTTATAAAGGTTAATAGGTCTAGAGTAATTCCAAGTTTTAAGGTTGGAGATTTTAGATGTAGATGCAATAAAATATTAATAAAATATATGGGCCAAAAATTTTTCACTGGTTTAATAACATCATATTTAAACCAAACTTTTTATAAAAATGGGTTGTAAACTCATCAAGACCCATCACAAAGTCTTTGTTCATATACACATAAAGATGACATCACCTTCAGTTAAGGGTTTTAGAGAATAAGATTATGTCTACCCCAAGGAGTAATTGAGGGATTCTTCAAGGGCAAGAGGAAGGACTACAATTTTTTGTTACGATGAAGGAATGGTGTGAGGTGATTGATGGCAAAGAAAGATAAAGCTATTTTCTCCTTAATCCAAAGAAAATTGTTTCTTCTTAATGTTGTAAACATATTTAGTGTTTTGATAATTAAAGGTTGATTAAGATAGTTCTCATCTTAGTGGCGAATATGGAATGAATTGATGGATTTAAATAAGGCCTTATATATTTAATGTTAAAATTGACTGAAGAGGGTGGCAAAGCTATCAAGTGAGGAACAAGTAGTACAATCTATAATTTAGTGGAAGTTGGGTTAATTGAAGATGACTAAATGGTGTCGCAAGCTATGGAGTAGGTAATGAAGTTGCTTAAAGTGGTGTAGGTGACTTGATTTTGCTGAGGAAAATGATAAATGCTTACATTAATGATCAATTATATGATTTATGTTTGTTTGGAATTTTCATTAATGCAGAGTGTCCATCGTGATTTATATAGTAATGATAATAAAAATGTATTATCCTATTAAAATTATGACAAGCATATTGATGTAAAACACTTTTTAGTATTGTGGTTGGGTTTCCCCACAATCACAATTTCACTTTGTTAATGTGTCACATATTATTTCTATGATTTTGTTAATATTGCACATCATTCCTCTTGGAGGCTGCCTAGAAAGACAACCAACATATAGTTCATTAACATAATTGTAGATAAACAAGTGCGAAAAAATATTCCACATGCAAATACATCATTTTACATATTAAATGTTGAGTTAAAAGAAAAAGAGACCTAATATCCTTAGCTATAAATAATACCATACAATCATGTTATAAACAATAATTTGAGTCTAAATCTATTTCTAAATATGAAAATGAATTTTTGATAAAATAAAAAGAATCTATTAAATGTGAACCTCAACTACTAAGAAAAATTAAAATTATTTTGATGCTAAATAAATCATCCATATTATAATTGATAAGTTGATTGAGAAAACTAATAAAAGAATTCATAACATATTGAATGATTATGTTGTTTATATGATGAATGGTAGAGCTAAGGTTGATTTTATTTATAGTTCATTATTTCTTAACCCAAAATCTTATCAAAAGTGATTCAAAATGTTCTTCACTTGATTAATTATAAAAGTGCAAGTTTTGTCTCAAATAGTTATTAACATGTTTGGATTAGCTTCCTCCAAAAAGATTATCCTTTTATATATGCATATTAAATTTATGTGTGAGTAGGGTGCAGGACAATTTAAATAAAAAAACATCTTTATATATACTAAAGATGGTTACTTTAAACCATAAGAAGAAATTTAGTACAATTTCAAAATATATACCAAATTAGTGTGCATAAAACTAAGAGGCAACCTTTGACGTATTAAAAATTTGCCATATGACAACTCAAAATGTCAAGTCAAATAATTTTAGGACTATCACTTTATCTATAAAATTATTTTAAAATTTTTAATTATATTAGACAAATGGTGCAATTTGAATTTTAAAGTTTTGAACATAAATCCAATCATATTTAAAACAATATCACTACTTAAAATTTAATTATTAAGACGATACAATTTAATTTTAAAATTTTAATTTGAAATCAATACATTTGAAAGCTAACTACATCATCATAGGTATCATTCACTTCTAAATTTGAATGAGAAAAGTAATATAATTTTACTTTTAAAATATTTGATTTAATAAATATTTAACCATCATATCATGCATGTAATAAATTTTAAATTTAAATTCAACTTGATTCTTATGATATCATTTTATTTATATTAAATCATAAATTTTAACTACTTTGCTTGCTATTTTTTTTATTTTTTATTTCACTGTTAAAATCATATATTGTTCAACTATATATATATATATATATATATA